GAAGACCAGCACATGCTTTACTGTCATCCAGCCTGCTGCTGGAGTGGTAGCTAATACTTCAGTTAAACAGCTCCACTCCTCAGGACAGGCACTTACTAGACAAATTAGCCATATGATGTTCATACATTCAGCAAGCCTCCAAACTAAACTGTTTTCTCTCCATCAAAATATATGTACTTCACTCAAGAGTGCCACTTGCCTAGCTTACTTCAGTTGGAAACCTCAGCCTAAGAGACACAGCCTGGGGGCACTTTCACCTGCAGGGGTTCAGACATTCACTGGAAGATGTGGAAAGAATAAAAATCATGGTCTTCACACAAGGGTGTATAACAACACATTTCAAAGCAACGTGCTTCTTTCCTACAATCAAAAAAACTCTCAATCCCTAGAAAGTCAGTATTTTCGCAGCACCCACCCCAAACCAGAAAGTCTAAGAGCAATCTACACAGGCCAAACATTCATGTCACACACACACCTCTCTGCTTTAAAGAGTTGGTTTGGACTCTTAAGAGAGCTGCAATTCTGTAGCTCAGGAAGCAAACTCAGCTTTCCCTCGGACTTTCTGCACGACTACAGGCAAGTCCTTTAATGGCAGTTTGCTTCAGATCCTCATTTGCAAAATGGGGAAAAGATTTCCTCGTGTGAGGAGAGGGTTCAACGCTCGGCAGTTCTCTGCACAGTTACGGCCGCTCGCCCAAGCTAACTACAGCGAGCAGGGCCGGAGGAGCGCAGGGGCAGCCAGCTCCGCGTCCCGGTTCGCACGCCATGGGGTACGTTACGGCGCCGGGCGGACCGAGGGCTTGTCACTGCTGACCGCACCGTACGTGTTGCCATACTATGAGCGAAGCCAAAGCGCGGGCTGAGGAACAGGGAGAGAAAAGCACAGACCAAGCACAGAGTCGGTTCAGAGCAGAGCCCGCACCCCGGGGCCCGCCCGCACCCCGGGCCCGCACAGCGCTCCTCCTCCCGCCGCCCCGGCGGCGGGCAGCGCCGAGGCCCCCGGCCCCCGTTCCTCCCCGAGCCCCGGCCCCGCCCGGCCCGGCCCGGCCCCTCCCCGGCCCGGCCTCCCTCCCTCCCTCCCCGCCCCCGGGCGCGGTAGGCCGCGGCGCCGAGGCCCCATCCCTGACCCTCGCCCCGCCATCTCCTCCTCGGCGGCTCCGGCGCGCTCCCCTCGGCACCCCCGTGCGGCGACGGGGCCGCTCCGCGCCGCAGCCGAGCCGGATGGCGGCCGATCCCCCGCGGCCCCGGCGCCCGCCCCGGCCGCACTCACATCCTCGGCGCCCGCCTCCGCCGCCGCTCCGGGCCCGTCGCGAGCGATCGACGCAGCGCGGGCGGGAAGGGCGGCCGCGCGGCGCGGTCCGATGACGTCACGCGCCGGAAAACGGAGGGGGGGGTAGGAGGGGGAAGGAGGGCGGGCGGCGGGCTTAAAGGGACAGTGCGGGAGAGAGTCGGTCGGGGTGTGCGGGGGGATGCGGGGGTGTGAGGAGCGGGGAGGGCCGGTGAGGGGGTCCGAGAGGTGTGAGGGGGGGTCCGGGACGGGGAGGAGGGGAGTGGGTCCGTCAGGGTGTGTGCTGGGGCTGAGGAGGGGAGTGGGACTGTCAGCAGGTCGAGGGCAGGAGCGGGAGGAGGAGGAAACAGGCCGGTACTGCAGAGAGAAATTAGTTGCTCATCGGAGAGCTCCAGTGGCGATGGGCTGTGGCCTTGACAGTCCAAGGGTACAGACTGCCGGGACAAGCTCTGCGGCTGGAAAAGTCCGATCTCGTTTAGGAGAGCAGCTGATGTTCCCCTCGGCAGAGGGGCTCAGCCCCGGGGGCGCCAGACCCGCTGGTGCCGGGATGTGTAACCTGTTCACCCCGCGAGCAACTAGTCCCGTTTGTACCGGGCTCGCTTGCCTGTTCTTTGCAGCTACGCTTATTGGTACAGTAAAAGTTGTTAAGTCTTCCTGCAAACCTTGTTCTGCTTGATAACAATAATAGCCAGGGCTTCAACTCTCTGCTTCCCAGGAGCGACAACCCAGCAGGCTGTAGGCCTTCGCTGGTAGGTGCTGGGCGCAGTGTCACGCCCAAGCTGCAGGATCACGACAGGCAAGTTTCTAATTTGAAGTTGTGGCAGATGCGTCCTCTCAGGGGACAGGGAGCAGAAAGGGATGTGTACCACTGAGAGAGGACTCACCCGCTGCCTGCCTTGCAGAAGTGCAAGAAAAATTAGAAAAATTAAATACTTAAGGTGGAGCATTGTCCAGTAGCATTTCATAAATCCAAAGATTTATGTGGGAAGGAGATTTTCGCTCTTTTATTTTTTTTTTTTCCTTCCTTACAAAACATGTGCTGTGAACTTACAAGGAAATTTGCCACTGGAGGCATTGATCTGACCTAGTCACATTGGATTCCAGCTATATTGGCTGCCTGACTTATGACTTCAAAGGAACAAAGTCAGAAGTGTAATTCGACCCCATTCCTAATGCATGGTCTTAAATATGACAAACCTTTCCAAAAAGCAGGCATGCTAGTTAGCTGAAGTGTGATCATAGGCATTTTTGTTAAGTTCCTGAGATTTGAATCCTTGTACTCTTCCACGAAGACAGCTCCACCTCCTGAATGCATTGCAAGAATATGTGTGAGAATGCAGTGTAAGAGTATGTCCTCTTTACCTCCACTACAGAATGTGAGCGAGAACATGGCAGTTGTCTGTAAGATCATGTGGCAAGAAGAAGAATTGGTTTATTTTCTCTTCTGCTCCAAACCCAAGGGGGTATTACATGAAACTAGCCATGGGCAGGTTCGGAAAAGAAAAAAGGAAGTTGTTCTTCACACATCTTGTTAAAGGGCAGATTTCCCTGCCATATGATGTTGTAGCCTACTAGAAGTTTATATGGGTTCAAAGAGAAACTGGACTATGTCTATTGAGGACTATCGGTAGACTGTCATGATAACCTTAGAATCACAGAATCATCTAGATTGGAAAGGACCTTTCAGATCACCGAGTCCAACTGTTAACCTGGCACTGCCAAATCCACCACTAAACCATGTCCCTAAGCGCCACATCTACATGTCTTTTAAATACTTATAGGGATGGTGACAACCACTTCTCTGGGCAGCCTGTGCCAGTGCTTGACAATCCTTTTGGTGTAGAAATTTTTCCTAACATCCGATGTAAACCTCCCCTGGCTCAACCTGAGGCCATTTCCTCTCATCTCATCGCTTGTTACTTGGGAGAAGAGACTGACCCCCCACCTCGCTACGACCTCCCTTCAGGCAGGTGGAGGGAGCGGTAAGGTCTCCCCTCAGCCTCCTTTTCTCCAGGCTAACCCACCCCAGTTCCCTCAGCTGCTCCTCATGAGACTTGTGCTCCAGACCCTTCCCCAGCTCGGTTGCTCTTCTCTGGCCGCGCTCCAGCACCTCAGTGTCTTTCCTGTAGCAAGGGACCCAAAACTGAACCCAGTATTCGAGGTGCAGCCTCTCCAATGCTGAGTACAGGGGTACAATCACCTCCCTAGTGCTGGCTACACTATTTCTGATACAAGCCAGGATGCTGTTGGCCTTCTTGGAAAGTCTCCCAATGCTGCACTGTAGGGAGTGTACCTTGGGAAGGGCTACTACATGCTTGAACTGCTTTTGTATCCCTACCCAGGCATCTGCTAGTCAGCCTGCTGAGATGGGGTGCTGAGCCAAAGGAACCTGTGGGCTGACTGTTATTCTCTCCTTTCTTCCAACTAACTTGTTACATATGAAATTTTGAGTGCTGTAGCTTTAATTCTGGAGTTTTATGGTGCTTTGTTAAAATCTGCAGTGAAATTTTGTGCTGCCCATTTTTGTGCTAATCATTTTTGTCCATATTTAGAGTAATCACTGGGCGAAGGAATACTTAATGAATGTGTCCATTAGATAACTGCAGCTATGGGTGGAGAACAAGACATGATACATCCAGACCTCTTCTATACCACATTTAGCTGCAAATCTGAAAAATGCTTTATGGAAGATGGCAAGTACCACTACCTTGATTCAATAAATGGCAATATAGACTAAAGGTTAGGTGTCACAAAGATAAGCCAGAAGTCTCAGCCTGCCGTAGCCACAGGACCCACAGCTTTCAGCAGGTTGTACTGTTTAGTGACAGTCTTTTAGTGCTCAGTCCCAGTCTAGCCTGCACCCCAAGTATTACTGCAAAGAGAAGGTCCCGCTGGACAGGCCGTGCTTCCTTGGGCAGGATGGATGGAGCTCAGACTTGTTCCCACTCAGCTGTGCTCACTGCTGTTAGGCTTAGGGCATGATGTTTAAAAATTTCTTCTCCCTCAGCTGTAGAAAAGCCATAATGGCTGGCTGATCTCAAAGCCATGTGCGCCCTTATTCTCATAATGGCTCTCTTCTCTCCAAGGGTGTTCAGGTGAGTTCACTGAACCAGCAGAAAAATAACACTACTGTGAAAAAAAAATACGTTTCCTACCAGTTGTCTCCCTGAAGCAGCTCCCCGCAGAGTTGTGAGCAGGAGGTCCAGCCTCGGGGTGGTGGTGGCAGGGGGTCTCATCTCTTCTCAGTGGCTGCTAGCAGTCACTAAGCCTTAAGGCCAAGCCTGAGCAAGATGACATTTGAGCACCACATTTCATTTGGGGCCACAAGCACAGGTGACAACCGGTCAGAACACGTGTCTGCTTCAGTTTCAGAGTGAACAGCACCACTGTGGCCTTCCCCCCCCATGCCAGCAGCTCAGCCTGGCGCAGGGCAGCCCACCATCACTGCTGTGGTCCTGCGCAAGGAGCTGGTGCTTCCAGGTCTGGATGGGACCTCTGGGGACGGCACTGCTGCCTCCTGCGGGGTATCTCCTCTGTCCTCGGGGATGGGGTGGATGTCAGGTCTGAGCCCTGAGGCTGCGAAGGTGATGGGGCTACTCACGGTCCTGAAGTGAGGCTGCCCCGAAAGAGTTAAGAGGAGCGCTCCTCCCTCTCGGTACATAAGTCTCCTCCTGGGTGACCTTCCCGGCAGCCTTTGCTGGCTCTGCCCCAACCAAACAAAGAGGGCAGGAGCTTTTCAAACAGCAGCCTCCCAAAAAGTTGGCTGCTGCAGAGCTGGGCTGTACTGGGATCCTGGCTGGCCACGGCCACCGGCGGATGCAGCAGCGACAGCAAGTTGGTGCCGTCGCCTGGGAGGATCCTGGCAGACGTCTTTAGTCCCTGTACGTAGATGCTCAGCCTGTTTGCTCCTGTGCATTCAGCTGGTTTGGATGGTGGGAGCATGATGGGGAAGGACAGAGAGAAACTTCTCGCAGTGGTAGTTGGACGGGGGTGCGAGTGACAAGGAGGGGGGGCAAGAGGCTGGCGTTCGTGAGCTCCTGTGGCCCACAGCCATTCCCTGCTCCGTGGGACACTGCTCTGGATGGAGCGGACCGCTGCTGCTCAGCACGCAGGCCAGGACATGCTGAGCAGGGATGTGGAGGTGTGGTGCTGTGCTGAGATTCAGTGTCAGAGCTGGGAATGGCGTGCCCAAGCTGAAACACTGTCCTCCAGCTGCTCCTTGAACTCAGAAACCTGCGTAGCAATTTTCCAGCAGAGGTGCAGACCTTCTTTAGAAATTGCCTGTGTGTTGATAGACTGCTGGGTGGTGGATTTAAGGCAGCAGACAATCACAAATCTGCTCCAGCCAAAACACTGAAGATGAGCAGGAGAGGAAAGAACGGAGCTCCGAGTGCTGCTTTTGGATCTTGCCTCTGCCTTTGGCTGTCCCTTCATTCTTGCACCTCCAGGCTGCTGATGAGAACAATGCTATTTACTCCCACCTCTGCGGGTGAACTGCTTCCCTCGTGGTGGTGGATGGTAATTAGGACTAATTAGTCAATGTCTAAATGCCACCTGAGGCTGAAAGTGCTTGTCCTGTGTGTTGCACCATCTTGCAGCTGAGTGCTTAATTTTTCCTTCCTATTCCTTGGCTTCGGGTTGTGGAGCCGTGGTGGCGTGGCTACAGAGAGCTCTCCTTGAGCCCCCCAGATCCAGGTGATTGGTGGGTTATTTTGCCAGCAGAAACACTAAACAACCGGTGTTCATTTGTCGTGGCGAGGTACAAGGGGCATTACATTGTGCTTGTAGGGATTGTGCTACAGTGTTGGCTCAGCCCACACGCTCTAGATGCTGATGTTTTCCCTGTGCTGTAAGAGCTTTGGTCCATCTCCCTGCTCAGTCCGTTGGACCTTTTGCACCTGTATTAGGGTGGGTTTAGATGTGTGTCAGATTTCAGAGAATACAGTTTGTGTGGCTTCATTAGAGGAATTGCAGGATGGGGGATTTGTCTTCTGAGGGCTTGGAAACTTTTCATCCTAATATGTAGTAACAGTTGTGGTTACCTCTGCAGGGAGTTGAGATTAATCTGAGTTTCCAATGACTGCCATGTCAACTATATAGATTTGGAACAGCAGAAAAAATAGATTTTGGGGGGTTCCCTCTGATCTGCAGAAGGTGAATTTAGCATTTTAGCTGAAACACTTCCAGTTGATTAAATCTTCAACAGTAATCTCTGAACATCTGGCTTGCCCTCTCTTGAGGTCTAGGGCTCATTCTTTCAGTGCATACTGGCAGGTAGGCCATGCACAAGCTCAAGACTTCAGAACTGTCTGAACCTGAATGTGTCTATGCACACATTTGTATTTCAGGGCTCTTTTAGCCTAAAAACTGTGCCATGATGCATGTTTTCTGTCTTCCCACAACACTTGAAAAGTGTGCCCTGACACTGTAGTAATATGCCTGCTCATTGTTAACCTTCTTCAGATATCCTGATTTCAACAAAAGGGACAAATATCACTTTACTCTTTGCAGTGATTTATTTGTTTCCTCTTCAAGCACGTGAAAGATGCTAGAAATTCAAGATATGCTTGTGGTTTAGCCTTTGCAACTCTCCCTGCTTGAAGGGCTGCATCTTTGAAGAGCAGAGATGTAAAGCTGCAAAACACTTTAAAGAGAGGCTGATGTTAACTGTACAGGCAGGGTAGTGGGATATTTCTCCGAATACTTAAGCTCAGCTTAGTGAATTTGTTCAGTCCCAGAACAGAGATGGATTTCTGAGCCTGGATGTGAAATCCAGCCTGTCCCTCTCCCCGAGGCCTTTCCAGGTGTTTTGTGAAAATCTCTTGTTCCTTCAGGCTGTGATTCTACAGTCCTTAATCAGTTTGGAACCCTTCAGATCATTTCTTAATACAAATCTGACAGTTACCAGGTACAGGCAGGGCATCACAACCATGCTGAACTTGTCAGACCACGTGTTATGGTGTTGACATTGACCTATGATTTTTGAGCTCTGGTAGAGCTGATCCAATGCAAAGTGTTTTTGTACAAACCTATCCATCAGTATGATTTTATAGTATCATTTCTTTGTGCTGTGTGTCTTGGGACCCTTTGACCATCCAAGTGGATTTTTCTGTGTTCCTGGAACTCCTCCTTTCCGCTCCCCTCAAACACGAGGGAATAGTACTATGTTTATGTGGTTGTTACCTTATGCCCCTAAACAATTCTAATACTCATTACATATACACGCTCCTATTTATTCTATCACCTTATCTTTATACTCTATTCCTCAGTTAGCACACAGCTGTAGCGACATTGTCTGGGTCAAAAGCAAACTATGTGTATCAGCCTACTCACAATTAGTTTTGCAAACCCCAAAACTGTTAATTAAAGAAACCTTGCAGGGACCCAACTTTCTTCTGTTAGCATGTACTGCAAACCTTAGAGTAGAAGGTTTAAGTTTTGCATTCTCCATTTGAGGATCTAGTTTTTAAAGTGTGGCCAGGCAGGGGGCTATCTCCTCGACTGCTCTGCAAGCAAAGCCTAAAGGAACTGGTCAGCTGTCAAGGTCCAGGCTCTAAATAGCTCACTTCCAAATCCTGGGCCAGATATACAACCCTTCCTTCTCTACCGTTCTGACAGCTGAAATACAAGTTTATTAAAAGGCTTCTTATGAGGTTATCCCTTCAGAGGGGGAGTCAACATGGCTCAGGTAACAGCAGCACTGTCTAAATTCAACAGGCCTGTCTCCTTTTAATAAAGCCTGAACAGAGTTGCTCCTTCACCAGTTTTGCAAAGAAAATCAGGGCTCTGTAACATGGGATACAGCAATCTGTATGACTGGTAGCAATCAATTTTGTTAGATGTTATTCCTACCACGAGGCTTGACAAATCCTGCAAAGCAATGACCCAGGGTAAAATTGCAGCCTGGAAGAAATAACCATTCTTCCCTGTCACAGATCTTCCTGCTTTGGCAACATGTCAGCATAGGACACCTAATACTGCTAATCTTCCTCCAAGCTAAGCACCGTTAAACCACATTGCCAGTTCTTTCTGATTACCTGTCTCCATGGAGCTAAAACTTTCCAGTCTGTTTGTACAGCAGTGAAGCTGTTATCTAGGTGAAGAGCTAAGAACTATCCATGTCCCTTCATAGCTGTGCTGGGCAGGTTCTGAAACAGGACCTTGAGGGCAAGAAACCAAGTGGAGCACTGCCATATCAGCTTGTCCTTCCTGTCCAGCATGGCTGTGTTCAAAGCACATTTCTCTGCAGGGTGAGAAGGAATCAAGTGTTCCTCCGGCAGACTCGACCCTTCCACGGCATCTTTGCCTTTGCTCTACTTGAAATGCTTCTTACTTTCTTGGTTGCAAGAAGCTCTTTTCCATATCTGAATCAAGTGTAAACCAGCATTATCCTCTTGTGCTTCTGGAGGATGTTTTTAATTTTTTTTTTTTCCCCTCTGAGCTGTTGCAGAGTGAAAAAGGACTCGTCTTGCCAGTTTTTGCAAGTGGCTATTTAGAAAGTTGTGGGAAAGCAATAAAACCGATGAGGATGGATCAGTGTCCCTCCCCAGCTGCTTCCAGCTGCTCCAGCTTCCCAAATGTGTGCTGGGGATCTGAGAAGGAGGGCTGAAAATCAGAGGCAAAGAGGACCTCATCAAGTTGCTGCCAGCCACAAAGCCCAGGGTAAAGGGAAGGCTGGCAGATTGGGCTTATGGCTCCTTACAAGGTCCATGAGGATCTATTCCCTTTTGCTAACGTCTTCCCCTTTGTTTTAATGTGTTTGCATAGCCTGGGATGCCCTGTGCATCCATCATCCATGAATGAGTCATACTGTTTCCTATCCCATGCCCTGGTACACTGGCATTGCACTGTACAGAGGCAGCTGAAGTTGAAAGGAAAGGGGTATATCCACACCTAACTTTGTCCTTTGTGGTCCTACATGGACCTTCTTAGGGCAGGAATATTTTGCACTCTGCCTCACCGCAAGCTCTTGAGTCCAATGTGCAGTGGGATGTTAACATCATAAAGTGGCTGTTTTTAATTGCTGAGACTGGGCAGGATGAGCTGCATCTTCTCACTCTCTGTGGGTTGCAGCTTTTCCTTCTCCCATTTCTTCTTCTTCTTTGGTCACAGCCATTCTCAGTATCAGCAATTTGTCTCACTGGTGAGACGTGTTGCTCCACCTTGGTATCTGCTACCCTTGCGGCTGTGCTGCTTCTGAAATTATAGATTGGAGCTTGTTGCTCTAATTAAGTCTACATCTCTCCAAGGCTGTTCCATCCCTGAGGGCCAGGCTGGCCGTGGCCGTGCTGCTGTGCAGCTAACCCTGATGACTTAAATAGCCATTGAGGTAATGCAACCCCAGGGTAAAGCGATTGAGTGGTTGTGGCATGGCACTACTGTCTGCTGAAGGCTCTGCAGGAATCTGACTCTTCCCTGCTTCACCCCAGCATGAGTTTCAGAAGAAACTTTGCTTGCACCTCCCAAGGGCATAAGCTGCTTGTGTCCAAGAGCAGGCTTGCAGCTGTGAGGCAGAAGGAAGAAGTCAATCTTCCCAGATGCGAGTTGACTCTGAGGTCACACAACTTACATTTAACTTTTGGGGAATTTGGCATTCAAACCCTGCTAGTCAGGGCTGCAGAAAGACTGGGGGAGAAACAGGCAGCACTGCAGCCAGTGGGTGTATGTGTATGCAGGCAAGCAGGGGAGCTTTACACCAAGGGACTTGCAGGATGGATGCTGGGGTGCTTCTCTTCCTTGATTTTGCTCCTAGCACTGGGACCTGCACTGGTGCAGAAACAAGTGGTGAAGAGGAAAAGCCTGCTGCTTGCCCTAAGGCTAGTGTTTAGGTAACTTCACCTGAGTCATAGGAAACCTGGATTCGTGTTCTTCCTACTTCTCAGACCTTAAATCCACTCTGTTCTGAAGAGAACTCTGGGGCATGCATGAGTGCTGCCTTCTTTCTCCTTCTTTCTTGAGGATATTCCATTTTGTATTTAATATTTTCTGGGCCAGAGAGCGCAGGAGCTAAGGAAATAATCCCGGTGATGAGAAGGTTGTTCCAGACTCTGGTATGTGTTTTTGTGGATATTACTGCGTGCAGAGTTATGGAATAGAAGTGTTACCAGCAGCACTGCCTGGTTAAAGGAGATTTCCTGGCTACAACTAAGTACTTAAAGACTTTAGGCATTGCAAGGGTTCAGCAGCAGCTGAAAGAAAGGGTGGCTGATGTGAAATTTGGACAGATGCCTGAATTGGCAGGCTGAAGTGAAATTCCTTTTGCAGGCCTAGCTGTATAACAAAACATGCAGCTGCTCACACAGATGTGTATGTCTAACTGGCTGGATAAGGTCTCAAAAGCCAGCCCACCAAAGGCCAAAACTTGGAGCCTGTGGTGCTGGGTGGCAGCTCTCTCTAGCTGTAGCTGTATACCGAGTGTGTCAGTCACCACATCTTCCCTCTGCAAGTATGGGTCCCCACTACAAAACAAGGGGTGTCGGTGGGGGAAGGACACTTGCAGACCCACGAGGAATCACACTGAAGTTATCCTAGCTCACAGGGGAATGATGTTGTGTTCACACAGGCGTAACTTCAGGGCTTGCAGAGTGACTTGCAGCTGTGGCTGATGCACAGTGTGGTAGCCAGGCAGGTGGAGGCAAACCGTGACTTCAGAACAAGGGACTTCTAGTGCCCCCACACAGCTCACAGCACCTGTACTTTGTATGGAAACCTCCAAGCCAAGTAGACTTTGTGGTGCTGCTCTATTGTAGAAATAGCAAAGGCTGAGTCATCCCAGATGAGATTGTTCCAGGGACTTTCTGGAGGAGATCAAACCTTTCTGTTTTCCTGTTATCCACAGAAATGAAAAGGGATAAAGGCAGAGAGTAAGCACACGATTGCAGTGCTGTGAATTTTTTTCCGCTAAGGCTCTCTGTTTCCCTGTCTCCCTGCAAAGCCACCATGGAATTAACTTCTCCTGAGTGGTGTAAGAAACCTTCAGAGGAATCATGTCACCCCCAGCCTGGCCCTGAGAAGTGAAGGGAACTCCATCCCCAGTGCAAAATCCCTGAAGTCTAGGAAAATCCCTGAATCTTTCCCTCTCATTGAATTGATTTTTTTTTTTTCCTACCTTGTGCAAAAAATTATTGGAGAGTAACAAACATCTTTTAGGTCAGGTAAGTGTAAAGGTCTCATCTTCATGAATGTGTAACTTGAGCAGCTGTGTTGCATAAGCTGTGTGTATGACACAGGCTGCAGCTCCATTGGAAAAATCTGCTCTGGAGAAGGAGAAAGAGGAGAAGGTGATGGACTCAGCTGTGGGAATGGGGAGCATGTTTAGTACAGAAAACTGCAAGTTTGCAACAGGACCTGGATAAATAAAGGCATAACTAGAGATGGAGCCAGACCCAAGCTGTCAGAGAAGCTGACTGTTGTGATTTTGGAGGAAATAGCTGGAATACTGTATTGTCTGAAAGGGTGACCTGTTTCTTTCACTGGCAACCCTTTTCTCCTACCTGACAGGGTAGAGAGTAGCTGCTGCGTGCTTTGTATGGCCTCATGGTGTAAGTGAGCAGGATTTGAGCTGGATTTCACCCTGCCCAATCTGCCTTCGCTCACCTCCTGCTCCCCAGCTGGACTCTGACCCACAGCCTGCTTTTCAGCATCTTCTCTGAGGTGGGTTTCCAGGTCTTGGTCTGTCTCTGATCAGTAAATACATATTTTTTAAAAGTCCTGATGCAGAGGCAAGTACTGTTCTTGAAGCATAAGGAGCCTGGGTGAAGCTAGCCTTGAGACCTGGGGTGCTCATATGTACCTCCATGGAGCTGCTGCCCGCAGCTATCCTCTGCTGGTGTAGAAGCATCCTGTGGAGCCATGCGCTGCAGCGAGGAGCCATCCTGGCCAAACTCCTCACCCGACTGCCCCTCCAGCAAACTGGTGGCTGCAGGGGAACACCCTGCGCTGGGGATGCCCAGCTGACATGGATTAGCAGGGCAGGGGCGGTCGGTGCCTCCCATGAGCTATCCCCTAGCCTGGGAAGGCAGGGCAGTGGGAGCTCTGTGGAGGGCTGGGGTAAGTTCAGAGGGAATGAGCAGGTGAAGAAGGAAGGAGTTGGGACCTGGGGATGTTAGAAAGTGAGCCACATCTTCAGTGAAGAGGAAGCTGGGAGAGATGCTGTGTGGAGTCAGTACATATCCAAGGTGCTCTTATCTCTCCTCCTGTGCGGAGGCTGGATAAAGGCTGTCGGCGTGGGGCATTGGCTTTCCTGGCATTTATGTAAACCTCATGTTTCTGTCATCTGCTGTTCAGGTAGCTGCACTGCTTTGCTTTTGCTCTAGTGTCCTCTGTCTGTCTTGAAACACTCTGAGAGGAGGGCAGAGTATCTTGCCAGGGCCTAAACTTCCCATACCTGCAGCCATAGGAAGCTCAAGGTGGTGGTTTCCTTGTAGCATCTCCCCTTGGCATGGGGAAGGTTGGGTATTCCTGACCTTTTCCTCTTGCTCTGCAATTGCACTGTCTGCACCCAGGGACATCTGTTGTCCTATATCTACTCCCCTAGCTCTTATCTACAAGTTCCCTAACGCCCATAGCAGGGCATGGGGTGGCCTTTGGATGTAAACAGATCTGGAACAAAGTACAATCTACATCTCTGGAGTTAATGCCTCTCTCTTTTGCCATGGAAAATGTAAAACGCAGAGGGGCACAACTCCTGCGTCGAATTAAGTGGCTCCGTTTTTCCCTGTGGCTTTCTGTAGCTGATGTACAATAGTCTCTGTGCCTCTGTGGCCAACAAAACACATTATTGTCCTTTTTAAGATCCACATGTGCCCGGGAAAGTAGGGTTTGGAAAAGGTTCCTATATCACATCTGCTTGGCAGTAGCTTGACATAGTCTCTATTATACATTGCTAATCTGAAAAGTGTTTTGCTGTTTTATGGAAATCCTTGGAGGCTATTTATTTTGGTGAGGCAAAATCCAAAAGCATGTCCTTTAAGCAGCAGCTGCAGCACTGAGTGTCCAAGAAATGCCTGCTGATAAAGGAAGCTGATAGGAAGTAGAAAACCCCTCCATCATACTTGTATACACACATACATGTGTACATATACACATATATAGGTATATCCCTGTGTAGGTGTAAGTGTGTACATATGCAGCGCCAAACACTGTCCAACCTGACCTGGCCCTGGTGTGATGCCTGTAACAAGGGAAGGGGCTGGTCCCACCACATTCTTTTGCTCCAGAGTGCGACCCAGAGGACACACAGATGCAGGGGCCATACCAGCAGTGCAGTCCCTGCTATGCCACCCACACACACGCAGTGAGTGTGACCCCATCCTGAGGCACCGTCCCCTGACTGACACCACCAGCCAAGGCTGTGTGTGAGGGGAGGGAGGGGAAGTACAGGAGGTAGTCATTACATTTGCAGTTGTGCCTTCTTTACAACTGGTATATAAAAGGTTGGTTTTGCTTCTCTCAAAGGTTATGGGACAGTGTCGTCTCCAGACCTGAAGGGCAGCTTCTGCAGCACCAACTGTTTTCCATGCAGTAGTTGTCGACGTGGGCATTCCCAGTTCTGCTTGCTGTAACCTTCCAGGCTGCCAAGGAGACGTGAGGCTTCAGCAGGGATCTGCCAGCCTCATGCGGTGAACCGCTGCTTGCCAGGACTCGCACTGAGCTTCCTGAGATACTGAGCTGCTGCTTGGGATCCTGACTGCTCCTGGCTCCTCACTTTACTGCTGGCAGTGGGGATTCAATGTCCAGTTTGGAACGCTGGGCAGAGCCAAGCCTGTTGCCATCTGCTGTGCCCTTGGTGGACCGGGGAACCTGGCTGAACCCCCTGTTCTGAGGGGGGCTCCGTGTGTGCCAGAGACAGGTTTTGGGCTGCCCCTAATCGCTCTGGTGGGAAGAGCCACCTCTTTCCTCCTCTCCAGCTGGGAACTGGGTCACTGCTGGAAGCTGGGGATGGCGCTGCATGGACCTGGGGCCAGAAGCCTTGTGGCGGAGCACTAGAAGAGCCCAAGCATCATCTCGGTGGTGCCTGGGGGGCTGCCGGCGTCCCCACAGCCGCTGTGCTCTGGGGATGTAGGTGCCGGGCGCAGGAGGGGTGCTGGGAGCGATGGGCCGGTTGGACGACCACGCCAAGAGGAGGATCGTGGAGCTGCGCAGGGCTGGGCTGAGCTTCCGCAAGATCAAGAAGGTGCTGGAGCTGGACAACATCCGAGTGACGCCACAGGCCGTGTACCTCTTCCTCAAGAGGAAGAGCATGGAGCCGGGGGCGGCTGCAGCTGGCTGGGACGGGGAGCAGCCCTGGCCCCCGCTGCAGGGGCACAAGGCCGAGCCACCCAAGGTGCTGAGTGCCCAGCTGCCTGCAGTGCCTGGTGAGGGCCCCGTGGGTAGCCGGGCGCCCTGTCCCGCTGGCAGCCAAGCCGTCAAGGAGGGCGTTCGGCCTGTCGGCACGGCCTCACTCTGCAAGGACGGCGGGCAGCCTGGGGAGGCCCTGTCCGTAGGACGGCTCCCTGGGAATGGTAAGGCCTGGTTCCCTGCAGGGGGTCACCACCATGGCCACCCCCTGGCAGTGCTGGGCCAGGGAAAGGGCTCCCCACCCCCCCACTGTGGACCCCCCAAGGGTCTCCTTTCGAGGAGTTTCTCTCGCTGTCCCTTGCAGGCGATGATGGCTCTACAGGCACCCCCTTGGCTCCGGGGAGCTGCCCCGCTCCGGGGGGCCCGGCCACCCCTCCACAGCCCCTGCCCAGCCGAGGGCGGCCGGTCGCACCCCCTGCCAGGAACCCAGCCCTGACGGTGAAGAAGATGATCGTGGACAAGGCTGTCCTCCTGCAGAAAAAGGTAGGATGACAGGCGGGACGGGAAAGCCCATCTGATCCGGACAGGAGCCAGTGCGGTACCACCTGCTGGGACGGCCCAAGACACCCTTCTGTATCCAAATCATGCAGATGAGGCGGGCTATCAGGGATGGAAGGCTCCTGAAATACCCCGCTGACCTCTACTAGCTGCACTGTCGCACAGTGCTTGACCCTGGCACCTGGTGAGCTTGTCTGGGAAGCACCTCTGTCAGCTGGGGCCATGGGGCATGCTGCCCCATAGGGCAGCCAGCACTCATTGCTGCCCTTGGGTGATGCTAGCTGCAGCGATGCCAGTTTCTGTCAGCATTGGCCTCCAACCTGCAGCTCTCAGAACCCCTCTTTAAGGCTTAGTTTCAGTACCAGCTCAGGAGGTTCCCCAAGCCACCACAAGGACACCAGCAGCTGAGTGGTTTGGTGCCGTACCAGGAGATGAAGGGCTGTGGCAAGCCAGGACGGGGTGACACAGCCAGGATGGCCATCCTCTGAGATACATCTAGCTGCCGTAATTCCTAATGTGTACACCCTTGCCTCACCATGCCATGAGGCCCCCAAGGCTGTGGCCATGCATGTGTTGTCCCAGCAGGTCCTTGTCCCTGCGGCCATCCTGCCCACCATGGTGAGCATGCCGCTGGCTAGCCAGCCCCATGGCCAAGCCCAACTCTGCTGACAGCCATGGCGAGCCATGGCGCAAATGTAAGTGACCGAGAAGTCCCAGGACCAGCTCTGAGTAGGCTGGCAGCAGGGCAGTGTGGCCGTGAACCTGCCCCAGTGCTCAAGGTTTACCCCTCTGACTTCACTTATGGGCAATGCTTTTGCCTCACAGAGGGTGGCAGGATTCTGGCACCTGCTTTTCTCACCCTGGCTTCCTGGGTGCAAAACACAGCCATGAGTCAGGCTGAGCCTCCATCCACAGCCCTGTCTCTGCTCAGACAGCAAATACCTTCTCCAGCCCACTCAGGTGTTTGTCAAGAGTCCTTGCCAGCTGCTTAAGAGGACACAGGTTGTTCAACATCCTTTCCAGGAGAAAGCCTCCCCTGGGGTTCAAAACCAGCACTTAATCCCTCTGGGTGAGCAGAACAGCCCTTTCCCTCAGGGTGCAATACAAAAAATGAAGAGGCTGGAAAGAAAAACCCAGAATATGCTATTTCTGTCCCTGAAGAGAGCAAACATGGTCCTGGCATCAGCACGGGCAGCCCAGCTGCCATCTAACATCATCCACCATCAGATGGCTAAGCCATGCAGACAGCATGCAGAGCAACGTGGAGTTCCTATGGAGAAGCTGCATAGGGGCTGGGTGGGGATGAAGTGCAGCTCAGAGCACGGTGAGGTCTAGAGGTCTGCAACAAGCTGATGACTTTCTCTCACACCTTGTAGCTAAGTGCAGAATAAATCTTTCTCTTGCTAAATGCCATTGAAGGAGCTGTTGATAATGTTTCACCTTTCCTTCTCTCCTGCCTCCCACTGCTTCAGGTCAAAGATGCCAGCACTCAGACTGCCCTGCTGAACCCCACGAGTCCTGGAAATCAAAACCTTGCTTGGGGCGGACCAGTGCTTCCCCCTGCTCCCAGCTCCCATGCCGTTGCAGAAAAGCTGGATGCTGTACAGCTGGAGATCCAGAAGCTGAGCCAGGCCCTGCACGCAGTGCTAGAGAGGCAGTGCTGCCTGGAGCGCCAGCAGGAGCACCAGCAGCGGCTGCAGCAGGAGGTGCTGATGACGCTGCAGCAGCTCAGCTCCACTGTGAGCCATGGCGCCGTGCCTGCGAACCAGCCCTGCATCCCCTTCAGCAGCATGGCAGAGCCCTCGCCCACTGTGCCAAACTTGAGCCAGTTCAAGATGGAGCTCATCTGACCTCACACAACGCCAGCGTGCTCTAGCAGCGCTGCACTGATGGCAGGATGAAGCCATGAAAAACTACCTTTCAGGGGCTGTGGCAGCTACCTAAGGATTATGTGGGGCATCCTGCAGAGATGGTCACTGGTGCCTCATGTTTTCAGCCCTGTTGACTAAAAGGGGCTGCTTGGCACAAGGGGCCGGGCAATGGAAAGCTGAGGCCTCACTTCTCCCATGCTGCTCATCCCGGTTGGCACTGGAGCTGGCTGGTGGCCCATGGACTTGAGCAGCACAGGCAGCCTGCCTGCAAGTAGAAGATGCAACTAAGAGAGACACAGCAGGTAGGTGGGTCTCAAAGAAAAGGCGAGGCTTCCTCTCACGAGAGTCAGAGCCGTGATAGGCAATCACAGAAACACTTCATGCCCTCCATTTGCAGAGCTTTGCTCAGTAAAAATCTATATACACCATGGTTCAGAAACAGTGTGTGATCTCTTCATTTTACCTACCCTTTGCCCTACCAGCGAGCAGGCTGGCTCTATCTTGGGTGCTGCCACCACGCGCAATGCTGCACAGGATGTTCAAACCCATGAGATGAGACCACCGCTCCGCACACGAAGGATGCTTCTGGCATCAGCTGCTGCACTGTTAGGGATATAGCACACTTATGTAGGAAACAATCTTCTACTGAGCAGATTCCACTTAGGTCGCCCTCCTCACCTCAAATTCTCAGCAGATCTGGAGTCTGGCACTGGTCCTGCCCACTGTCTGACCGAGATAGGGGCAGGACCATATGAGTAAGAGTTGCACCTGGGCATGAGCTGGGTATTCATCTCTCCTCTAACCCCTTTTCCTGAGCAGGACGTCCTACTGGTTATGGTCCCCAGCAGCAAAGACTCTCCCTAGTGCAGGCTGCTGGTGTGCAGAGCTGCTCAAGCAGAGAGGGGCACAATGCTGAAAACCCCCTTCTACAGACAAGAAGGGCTCAAGGGAGGCTGATGTACTTCCACTGCAGCAGGGGAGCCCGGAGGGACTGGAAACTAGACTTGCCTGCTGGGTGGAAAGGTCTGCTGCGAGCGTGGCCTTGGCTCATCACCCAGCCCTGAATCTCAAGAGGGGATAGAGGATGTCCTTCCTCTGCATTAGCCATGCAGGCTTCTTTCTTTCTGATCACCACGCTTAGCACAAACTGCCTAGAAGAGGTCCCCAGCCTCCTTCTTTGGACTGAGGTCAAAGTTGTGAAGTATAAAAATAATTCAGGTATTTTATACATACATACACACACACACACACACACACACACACACACACACACACACATATATATGTATACCTGGGCATTTTTCAGGTCCTTGCAGCAACCCCAGTGGATGGGAGGGCTGGACAACCAGTCTGCCCCCCACAGAGATACATGCCCTGGCCCCAATGCTGTTAGACCTTGCTGCTACAGCTGTGCTTGGGAGCATTAGAAGTCTGCTGCAATCTCCCTGTGGTCATTCATTTTGATGTTGGTGTAATTTTAGGGATGTCTGAAGAGCAACAGACAAAGAAAAATGAAAGATCAGTTGCTCTGCTCTTTTGCACAAGGCAACTAATCTGCATCTCAGCTTTACACTTAAAATGAAGGGGCTGGATGACCAGCCTTCAGCAGGCATGGTTTCCTAAGGTCTCTGTTAATGTTTTGGGGAAAACCAGGAGCAGAACACCTGCCATCGCCTGGCACAAGTACATCAACTTTAAACCACCTTGATTTCTGAAACAGCTTCTGTAAATCTGACTTAATGGTATTTTTAAAATTATTTTTAAAAAATACATGCTGCGTTTTCTATTTCCCCAAAGTATTTTAAGAACTTTCCTCATTTCTAACTCTTGCACATCAGCTCCCTACCCAATGATGAAAGATCAGTAAAAAATGTGGGAAATAAATCACCTGGGCTTGTTAAATAACCCATCCACTGTAACATTTGTTTCAGACAAATACACAGCCTAAGTGCTAAGCTGCTGTTTGCCTGCTGACAACATTAGGGAATGCCAAGTAATTATTTAAAGTGGTGTCATGTTATAATGTGAAAACTGCTTCCCATCAAGGTAATCCTAAACTGTCTACTGCTTCCACCCTGCTCTAAGGAAGAGCTCTTCCCTATGGCCAAAGCATCATCTCTCACTGCCTCTTGCATGCCCTGAGCCTTCAGCTTGGTGCTCTCCCACCACAGCATCTTCTAAGTCAGGTTGATGGCCTTTGCACTGTGCCTGTTGACATGCCTGGCATTAGCCATGGTTTTATTGGCGGTTCTTAACCTCCTGCAGAACCTGCAATCTGCTGCATCAAAAGCAAAAGGGCTTTGCTGCAAAAATTAGGAGCAAAGTGTTGGAGTGTTTGGGTGCAGCATGTGAATGTAGGTGTTCACCTGAGTGAAGGGGCAGGTCCCTGTGCAGCAATTAGAGAGGAAGCAATGTGGAAGGAGAGGGTGAGAGATGCAGATGGGAAGGTGTTTCTCACTTTTTGATGAAGTAAAATGCCAGGCTGACCAACAAGAACGTGAGCAGGAGAGATCCCACAACAAACCGGGCAATTTCCCAGCCCTGGAAGGAGGCTGAGGGTGCAAAGGCAGAGACAGAACATTGTAGCTATGACCCTTCCCAGCACAAGGTGCCACCAGGAGTCGTAGAATCACAGTCACAGAATGGGTTAGGCTGGCTTGAGTTAGGCTGGGCTGGGTTATGTTGAAAGGGACCTTTAAAGGTCATCTAGTCCAACCCGCCACCATGGGCAGGGACATCTTTCACTAGATCAGGTTGTTCAAAGCCCTCTCCAATCTGACCTTAACACTTCCAATGATGGGACACCTACAACTTCTCTGGTCAACAACCGGTTGAGCTGTCCCAGCCTCCTGATCTGGAGACCCCATTCTTCCACCCCCTCAGCTGCATCCTCCGTAGTGTGCCAGCTCTGGCCAACTCCAGCCTGGGTGCCAGCTGCTTCTCTGAGCAATGGGGCTTCAGGGCTATGTGTCCAACAGCACCAAAAGCAGGGGGCTCCCTGGTGAAGCCCAGACTCACAAGAAGATTTAGACACCCAAACTTCCAGTGGTATTGGCATGATAGGGCTGACTACCCCATCACACCAGAGGAACCAACCATTGTTACCTCTCTTGTAATGTTCCACCAGTTTCTGGAGGGCAGCTGGTTTTGGGAAGTGTCACCAGAGGTCCTTGCTGGCTTGCCCTGCATTTCCCCTCTCACGTGGAGATGTGGCCTGACTCTGGCCCTGGCTCTGTTCACTGTGCTGGAAGCAGATCACCGTGCTTAGTTTTGCCTCCTACTCACCTCTGCTGTGCAACATGGATGGTGCATTTTTTGGGGTGACACAGTCAGGATTGGTTTTCAGCACTCTTCCACCCACAGAGAAGGGGTGGAGGCTGGCCAGAAAGCCCTGGATCCAGGTCTTGATGGACTGATGCTGCTCCAGCTGCCGAGCCCACACCTGGCCCCAGACCTTCACCAGTAATGCATGTCAGGTTCAGCTCTGTGGAGAAACAACAGTGGGTCTTGGGTGGTCGGTAACCCTCCAGCTGTTTGAGAACACATTCCCATGACTTCATGTCCTGCTCCAGTAACACCCTCCTGCTCCCATGCTCTTCTCTCCAGCTCTCTGAAATCATTCTGCTGTACTGTATCACAGGTAAAAAGCACATGCTCAACCTTTCTTTTGGTGACAAAAAGGCCTTGGAGTTGTCCTCCCAACCCAGCAGAATACTTTATACTACACTTGGTAACGTCATGATCTCTACCAGCTGGTGAGAGTTGTCTGAAATTGTTCAAATGTCAAAAAGGTGTTTGGGCAACAGAGATGAAACATGGCTGCGAACCCTTAATTTCCTCACAAAACCAGCCAAAAAATAGGAAACATTTTTTCCCATCCCTCAAAAGCTGTAAGTCTCTAAGACTTCCAGAAGTGACTTTTTGGTCCAGATACTTCAAATAAGTATAGGACACTGAAGGAGTCTGATAGAGAAAGAGTTGAGAACCAGAGTCTTCTAGAATGCAAACGGCTTTTTTGTTTTGCTTGTTTAGGATCTTCAGTTTGTCTGGAAGACATCTCAAGGCATCAGCAGAGACTCTCATTCCTCATGGTTTCTTTAGTTTGCCCTTCCTCTAGTAAGAAGCCTGTGCCAGGTGCTCTCCTGCTCTCTTCACTGAAACCCCATGCACCCATCGCTGCTCCTCCAGCTCCCGTCACTCGAGTGCAAGCCTGCAAGTTTGGCTTGAGAAGGGACTATCCTGATGATGAGCAGCTGTGGACAGTGGAGGGAGGAGGGCACTGCAAACCAGGCAAGTGGAGCGGGGCACCAACCTTGCAGGTAGAACTCAGAGGCACCACAGGAGCACTTCTCCTCTAGGGAGCCCACCAAGACCCTTCCCAAGCTTTCCATCACCCTCCTGTGGCGCAGAGTCCACATGGAACAGCCTAATGGAAAAAGAGAAGTGGTTTTCTGGTTGCAGCTTGGGGCTGTTAATAAACTCCCAGCTGCGTGCCCCTTCCAAAACACTTGGCTTCACCCCTGAGCTCAGGAGTAAAGCTCCTCCAGAGCCTCCATCCCACCCTCCTTTGCATCCCATTCTCCTCTGCCCCCCACTCCTGCAGGATGAGTCTTCACTTCTGGACTTCTCCTACCACATGCGCCAGCTTCACTCCTTCACCAGCCTCCCAGGGTGGTGGGGAGGAGGCATGCCCCACAGGTCCCACCACTTGGGCCAGTACAGTATCTCATGCTGGGACACTGCCTGCCCCTCTCAGGAGGCTGGAGGAGGAGTAGTAACCTCCATTTCATTTTACCCAGGTCCTGACTGCCTCAAGCAGATCCAAGGATGGCCTTTGCAGGGGCTGGAGACCCCACTGTACTTTTGCTTGTTGGCCAAAGTCAGGACTGAACGCTTTGTTCCCACGGTTGGGCTGAGACAGAAGGGTTTGCTGGCAGTTTCCCTGACCATGCCCCAACCATCACGAGACTGGGATGGCTTTCCTGCTGTTGCTGCAAATCTAAAGCCACAGAAAGAAATCCTGATCAGGGCTTGGCCCTTCCTGAGCAGAGACGAAATATGTGGCCACCATCGTACAAGAACACATTGAAGCTGTGAGTGAGGCTGCCATCTGGGGATGGCGGCATTGCATCAACACATGGGTGTCTGTACCAGCTCTCCCCCATCATGTCCCCTTTCATTTCTGGGAGGCAGCAGGGTCCTTGCCAGTATCCCCCTCCCATGCCATGGGAAGTTGGGGTCAGCCCCCTGCCCCAGTGCCCTGCCCCAGCCCTCCCACCCCGCACCAGTGGGGGCACCCAGTTCCACTCACTGGGTGTCAGGAGGTAGAGGTGGAGTGTCCTGGGGACTGCTGTTCTGCAAACCAGGGGTAGGGGCCGAGATGGCAAACTGCAGTTCTGTGCTGGCGTTGCTGCAGGCATAACGGCTCAGGGACATGGG